TAAAAATATAAATAAATCAGGGAGGACCTTGATGGTTCATGTAAATAAACCTCAAGGATTGTTCCTGGACAAATACCTCGTTAATTGGATCTCCACTATTGTTTATGAATTCTTACTCCTTCCTCAGAAAGGAGGAGTGCTAGACTTTCCCAGTCTCTTGCAAAATTTGTCAAGTGATGCCAAGCTGTGACAGATATACTTAAATTTTTGTAAGGATTGAGTCAGGATGAGTCAGAAACAAATTTCTTCAAAAGGGAGGAGTTCTTCCCTCACATTTTAAAAGTTGGGTTGAAATTTTAATGCTGGTTGATCAGAACTTTGAAGGCAAGGGCATCTAGTGCATGTTAGAATCTTTGAGCAAAATGTTCTCCCTCTGACCCTGGAATCAGTATTCTGGTGGCTGGTTATCATTTCTTTCAACCCCAGCTTTTCAAGGAATCTTAGAAATCCATCTCCTCTGGACAAGTTAAGAATTCAGGCTGAGGTCCCTGAAAAAAAAGAATGCCTTGGATGGTACAGGATTCAGGAATCTTTTAGGTGCTTAGTGTGGGTCTGTGTCTGAATCTGTGTTCTGTATATATTAGGAGCAGGCTTGGGATGTTATACCATCCTATATAATAAAATGCTAATATGCAGATTGTCTGTTCCACTGGGAGTTCCACAAGTCAGTGGGGCCCATGGCCCCTTCCCCCCTCCCCCAGCCGTGCAGACCAAATTGCTCTAGATCAGGGGGGGGGCACCAGACCCCACCTGTTCAGGAATCTGTATACCAGGCCTCTACTCCATTATAATAGCTACCAGCCACACTGTGATTATAGAGTGCTTGAATTGTGGCTACTAACACATTAAAATGGTAGTTTGAATATATTATGTCAAATAAAATATTATTTAAAGTAATTTCATCTATTTGTTTTTCCTTTTTAATTCAAAGAGTAGAAAAAAATTTAATTGCACATGTGACTTAATTATGTTTCTAATGAATAGCCCTCTATTAAATATTTATTCAATATACTCTTGCTCAGTGACAAGAAACCATCTACCTAGATGAGTGAGTGCTCTAGAGTAAAATATTTCAAGACTCAAGCTGTTTTAGCTGAATATAAAAATGCTAAGTTTGACCCAAGTCACCATGGAAGATATTTTCCTCATTATAATCATAATCTATTATTACATTTATGGATGGACCTGCTACCAAGAATATCCCCCTTCTTTCTCAGTCACAATACACCTCTTCATGTTAGAGGTTATATACAAGGAAAATTCCTACATTTAAAAGTGTTTTAAAAATTTTCCTTCTCTGTCAGTATGTCTTAGGTTATCATGGGTAACAGATGCAGATATTAAAATTTACATCATGTGATGCCATGTGATATATCTTACAGTTCCTCGAGAAACTACTGGGCCAGCTGAGCCAGCAGAAACTACAGATATCTCAAGCTTTGTCCTCATGAAGATTTCCTGCAAGTGTGTAAAGTAAGGGCTAAAGAGGTACTGTGTTCTACCCATAAAATAGAGAAACACTTTCACTAAGGACAGGATTTCCTAAAGCACTAATTGCAGAGTGGTAGGGTGGAGGCAGGGACAATCTTTTTCATTAGCTGCTTTGAGTAAGGAAGAACTCAGGTAACCTCACACCGATTCTAATTTTCTTTCAACCCCATGAAAAAATACAGATCTCTCTTCATTTATTTGTTCTATTTGAGATTTATTACAATTAAGCTATAGCTGTATCAAAATATTTAGTAATTATATCAAAATATTTAGTAATTATTTCCATACTAGTTGAAAAGCCTAAACACAAAATGTCTTAAATATGGTTAAAACTTGAAACCTATTTTATCTTGATGTGTTAAAAATAATACTGAAATAATGATGTTGCCAAAAGCAGAGTATCTTTGATGAATTTATTTTTAGCTGTAGTCAATGGAAAATGTCTCCTGATTTTTGTGAAATTTGATCTGAACCTTGAACACTGAAAATTATTTGTCCAGGTGGAGAAGAGTGAGGAGAAAGCTATGGCTGGAATTGTGCTAGTCTCTTCAAGATTCTTGCAAAAGTCTCCCAAATATGTTCTAGGTCCCCTTCTGGGCTCTTGGAAAATAAATAACATTTTTTTTTTGTTTCTCAGTCTTTTTTTATTTTTATATAATATGAAAGTGCTAAATCACTTTCAATTCTCACTTCTCTCTTATTTCAGTTCAATGCATTGCAAAGAAAAAAAATCAGATCTCGGGTATAGTACAGGGGACACTGCAGATCCATGAGCCTGTAAGAAAGAAACATGGATTAGTATATGAAGGTTTAAAAGAGATTAAGGTAAATCAAACTCACTGCATATTTATATCCTGCAGATCTATCCAATAAAGGAGAAAACAAGCCGCACTCGCCTGGCTCTCATCATATGCAATAGAGAGTTTGGTCATCTTCAGCCCAGGCAGGGGGCTGAACTTGACCTCATAGGGATGGAAGAGTTGCTTGTGGGCCTCGGCTACAGTGTGACTGTGGAAGAGAACCTCACAGCCAAGGTAGGGGCTCCTCACCCACCCCAAACAAGCACATATTCTACACACCATCCTGCTAACAAATTAACTTTATAAGGATAGCCAGATACTTTATCAACCTTAGGCCACATATCTCTCTGTGTGTGCACATGCATGTGAGTATGTGTGTTTATAAAATGAAATTATTAGAAAGGGGAACTCTCTGTCTTCTTTGAGCTCCAAATATCCTTAATTCCATAAAACTAAACACAAAGTGACTGGCATGCAATTATATACACATAATTCTTATTTTAAAAGTGAGGTGATTGGGATTCAGACCCAATATTCCCAGGACATTCTACAGTAATGAATGTTCAAAAGGAATCTACTGGCCATGTAAATACTGAGTCCTGACTTGGACCCAGATCTGTGAATGAGACAGCAAATCCCAAGTTGAAATTGATTTAGATTTAGTGGTGGGGGCAAGCATATGAAAAGCAAAACAGAAAATTTCATAGATTTGATTAAGGTGACCAGACATCCCGCTTTTGGTGAGACAATCCCAATTTTTAACTATTTGTCCCTGCTTCCCTCAGTCTTTCAAAGAAGTCCCAAATCTGAACAAATTGTTAAAAATCAGGACTGTCCCGCCAAAAGTGGGACATCTGGTCATCTTAGATTTGATGTGTCTTGTGTCTCTCTGTAATAGTGAAAATGAAATTAAAAGTAAATAGAAAAAGAAAAGACAACAGAAGAGCGCATTGGTGAGTGGGGAGTGATTGCTTTGATGGAACTGTCAGGAAAAGCCTTGTCAGGAGACAGTATGGGACCTCACAGATGACTACCAGAAACAGGACAGGTCTGGGAACATGCGAATGGAGTACATTCCAATAGGGATGACTACCATGAGAAGTCTGAACTACATATGGAACTGGCACATGAAATATACAAAAAGATTAGAATAAGGAGAGCCTAGAGAGGGTGGCAGGAGGGGGTACACATATATCAGAAGGTTGATGTTATTTTAAGTACAGTGGCAATGGCTGTTGAAGGGAAGTGGTATGATACACTTATGATGCATGCCTCCTATTAATTAATTAGACAAAATACAGAGACAGAAAGAAAAAAGTATGTAAGTGAAAATAAACAAATGTAAAATACATCAAAAGGGCAGCTCATATAATATTAGCAGGAGCAGGTCCTTGAACCCCCAGCTCTATTGTGGGAAGACAAAGAAAACTATCAGTGAGTACCACTATCTGAAGCACAGTGACTGGAACATTTTAGATGACTCTTATACTGCTCAGGACAAATGAGTGGTCAGTTTGATGGTAATGCTGGTCCTTTTAAAGTAACATTCTGTGGCCTTTTTCAGGAGATGGAGTCAGTGCTGGTGACATTCGCTTCCCACAAAGAGCACAGTACCTCAGATAGCACATTCCTGGTGTTCATGTCTCATGGCCTCCTGGATTATCTCTGTGGGACTTAGCATAGCGATGAACACCCAGACGTGCTGCCTTATGACACCATCTTTCGGATATTCAACAATCTCAACTGCCCCAGTCTCAAGGACAAGCCGAAGGTCATCATTGTCCAGGCCTGCAGAGGTGGTGAGTTCTGACAGGGAAAATCCAAAGGGCATGAGGTGTTTGCAGTGCTTTTTGATGTATGATTTGCTTGTGAGGGAAACAAGCCTAGACCCCATTCAGGGCAAATGAAGTGAATCAAATTCTTGGGAAACTCCACAGGGTGTTGGTATCATGAGAGATTTTTTTTTTCTGCTAAGAAATATCTAATCAATTTAACCCAAGGTAATGGTGAAGGAGATTTTCAAAATCCCTAAATCAAAGTTGAACACAAATATTTAAACCATGAATAAGGTCATATTAATGACAGCCTTACTGGCCAATGTCTTACAGGCATGTTGACATTCTCTGGCTTGAGAAGAATTCCCTTGGAAAGTGGGGCTGTTCTATAGGAGCAGCACCCTATCCCCTCAGGTGTTATTGAAAGGGAAGTGAGTAGGGAGATATGGGCACTTGGCCTTGCTGTCAACATTTCCTTTGTTTTTGCTGACTTCCAATCCCCTCAGTATTATGGAGCACTGTTAGGAGAAAAAATCAGAAATAGCCTAGCTAGAAAAAATGGTTAGGAGGCTCGGAAATTATGCAGATTCGGTTTGAAAGTCCTTTGCTCTCTTAGGAAAGGGGTGTTTCCAGTTTGCTGATACTATCACTGTTTGCTTAAAAGATGCTGCCACTATGAATTGGCACATTGGGCAAAGACACTAGAGAGAGGCCATGGTATGTATTTGGAGCAAGGGTTTAGTGTGTGTGAGTGTGTGTGTGTGTGTGTGTGTGTGTGTGTGTGTGTGTGAGTGTGTGTGTGTGTGTGTGTGTGTGTGTGTGTGTGTGTGTGTGTGAAATTGGTGAGAATAAACATTTTAAAAGATTGAGGTAGACCATGTGACAGCCATACTGAGGGAGGCACACAGTTTGCACAAAGTTAATGTCTCTACAGAAAACCGCGGGGAAACATGGGTCAGTGACTCTCCAGCAGCCGTGATGGACAGCTCTTCACAGTCAGCAGAGAGCCTGGAGGACGATGCTGTTCACAAAGCTCACGTGGAGAAGGACTTCATTGCTTTCTGCTCCTCAACCCCACGTAGGTCTTCCAGTTACAGACAAGGGTTTGTGGGCCTATGGCCCCCTGGGAATGAGTCTAGAATATTGAGATAGACACCATGCAGCAGGGACACAAGACCCATTGTGAGGGCTTTCAAAACCGCTTACATTTAACTGACCTATTCTATGGAAACAGAGGGTCTGTATTTTCCACTTGTTAAAACTGTACTTTTATTATAAGTGCTGCACTTTATGGTAAAAGCTAAATCAAATATTAGAACAACCCAATACAAGGAATTGGATCCCCATACACCATTTAAAAAACAAATTTGATTCTATTTTATATCAAATCTATTTAACATTTTGAGGGGGGTTTTAATGGATCCTGGGACTGGCTGCCCTCCTTAAATTACCAACAGCAGCTCCTTTTCTTCTTGGTTATCATTAGATGCTCTTTAGAGGGAGCCATTGCTTGGCTCTGCAGGAGGAGATCCTTTAATGGAGGTGGAAAATTATGCTCTGGGCTTAGCAGGCCTAATAATAAGGATCAGTGCTTAGACCTTGACCTCTAGGTTTAGCCATCTTAAGAAGCCTCTCACCTTTGAATGTTTCTACTTTGCAAAGTTTTTTTTAAAATATTTTCTTTTTGTAACAACTCCATGGAGGTTTTTGTTTTCTTTTATCTTGTTTTTATTCTCACCCAAGGAGTGAGAGTATATTTTCCCCCATTAATTTTTGAAACAGTGGAAAGGAGGGGTAGGGGAGGGAAGTGAAGGGAGAGAGAGAGAGAGAAACATCCACGTGACTGAGACATCAATTGGTTGCCTCCCACACTCCCCCTGATCAAGGTGAAGGGATCTGACCTGCAACCCAGGTATGTGCCCTTGACCAGGAATGGAACCCGAGACTCTCCAATGTGCAGACTATGCTCTAAATGAGCAACACCAGTCACTGCTTATGGAGGTTTCATTGACATACAAAATGCTGTATATACTCAATGTCTGTAACACAGTGAGTTTGCATATATAATAATATGCACCAGTGAAGCCATCACCACAATCTATGCCATAGTTATGCCCCTCTCAAAGCTTCCTTTGGATTTATTCACCTACCTTGCTTATACTCTTGTGAAAGACAGTCTGCTGTATATACTGTAAACAACCTGGAAGACAGGGACCCATTTTTTGCCACTTACTGTATAAGCGTGGGAAAGTTATTTAATCCTCTTAGCATCTATTATTTCCTCTGTAAAATGGGATCATTTCAGTTATCTCTCAAGCCCCTTTTCAAAACCAAGGAATGAACATGAAGCACATAGTAAGAGTCAGTTCTAAGAATATAATGCAATCATTAGTGAAATCCTGGTGAGTTATCCCTTTATTTAAATCTTTGCCAGTGTTTTGATATTTTTCTCTTCTTTTTGGAAAATTAGTTAATGCAGAGATATAAGTGGTTCCTTATAACATGTCAAGTTAATTCCTAAGCTATGCTTAAAAAGCAGAAAAACTACATAAAACAAATGTGTGATAAAAGAAAACAAAGGCACAGCCCAAGGGTGACCACCCCTTATCTTCCTAGATAACATATCCTGGAGAGACCCTAGTACAGGTTCTGCCTTCATGGCAGTTAATCAGATGCTTCAAAGAGTATTCTTGGCGCCTTCACCTCGAGGAAGTATTTCGGAAGGTAAGTTTTTTCCCTCTACCTTTTCTAATCGTGTGTGTGTGTGTGTGTGTGTGTGTGCAGAAAGCCTTGCTCTTATTCTTATTTCAAATGACTATAACAAGCTTTGTCAGGCAAACAAAAGTAGAACAGTGCCTGGTTTCCATTATCCAGAGGTTGTCATCTGATTTAGGAAAAAAAGATGTTACCCCAAAATTGCATGAAATCCAAATAGAACAAAATAATGTAACATATAAGCTTATTTGTTATGGGCTATACATATATTTAAAGTCAAAGAATGGAAAGTATTTTGAGGTGATTTGTATGGCTTACTTTATTGAAAAAAAAACACACACATACTGCATGTTATTATACTAGGTAATTATTGCTAGTCTGTGACACCAGTGTAGATCATATATGTGTCATAAGGCTACTCAGGACCATTTTGTGAGAGATATGGATACTAAACAAGTAGGCCAGCAAACACATTTGTCTGGTTTGGTCCAGAAAGGAAGACCAAATTCCTTTGCCACTTCAGGCAATTCCTTATTCCCCCTTCCATCCTAATTTGTTTCCTCCATTTTTCTGACCACCACTCATTAGGCATACATTCTGTTTACTTTTACCTGTACTTACTCATTTGAATGCAAGCTTCATGAAGGCATGGATTTGCTCAACACCTCAACATGCTGGCACATAGGAATTAATATTCATTCAATAAATCAATGCATGAATACCAATACCTAACTCCCTTTAGGATATTAAGAAGATGGGGCAGTAGGGCTGCTTTTTATGTATTTTATTAATTTTATAGAGTAGGGAGAGGGGAGAGAGAGATAGAAGCATCAATGATGAGAGAGGATGCTTTAGTCCACAGAGCCACACTCTATCCACTGAGTCATACCAGCTAGGGCTGTATGGTTGTTTTTAAATAGAAAACTGTAGAGAATAGTAGCAATCTTGGCAAAGAGGAATCTACCTTTAGTAAATAGGAGAAGATTGCATTGTAACATGAGTAAGGATCTCCGTGAATGAGAGCTTTGGAAATTAAGTCCTGTTGGATGAGTAGGAATTGTACTTCCAAAAGCATTGCTAGGAGAAGTCTAGGAATAGTGTGATCAGTGGGGAGATGTCCTCATCGTCACCACTTGTTGGTGGGAGTGGGTTTGTTGCAATATCCTCAGAGAAGGAAATTTCTGAGACTTACATGGTAAGGTGATACATTATAGGAAGCTTCATTTCAGTGCAGTTATACCCTTGAGTTCCCAAAGTCCCATTTCCCTTTGTCCTGCCAAGAAAGAAGTACCATTTTGTTTTCAGCAGTTCTGAAATCAAGGTCAGTGTCCAAAGTTCTGGTCCATGTCTCCACAAGCAAATAGAGCAACAAGCTACCTTAATTTTTGTTTCCATTTATAGCCCATTACATGTGAGGTCCACATGGCTGTGGGACATACAGCTATAGAGACAACAAGGACAGGAATAAAGCCAAAGGAGCATGAGAACCACAAAAGTGAGGGAGCTTCTTTATCAGCTGGTTTATGTATTCCCAAATTTGTGAAGGCTAGCAATGGCCCTGGCTAGTCTATCCAAAGCCATTGCTCCCCAGGCTTGATTAACAGGCTCTTTCCCTTGTAATGTCAACTGCCTGTGTGTGCCTTCGTCTCCCATTTGGTAGCTCCCTTCCCCCAGGGGCCTGTGAAATTGCAGTTTTCTGGTGAAGCTGCCCAAATAACATGCCTAAAGTGTCTTGTCTCTCCCCTCTGCTCCTGTTCTATTGTTAATAACTAGCCAATTGCAATGGTATTAATAGAATCTCATTTATCTGTCCATCACAAAAGACTTCAGAGGTCAGCTTGTTGGTTAGTATGTGAAAGTTGTTATGTTTCAGTTTTAGGAACAATATTTGAGTTTGTGCCTTATTGAATTCAGGATTAACCTTTCATGTTGAAAGTAGAGCATTTTTGAGATCCAGTTTTCATGAATTGACTCAAGGAGGAAATCAGTTAAGATCTGTAGACCTGAAACCCAAAATAGAAAAGTGAAGTTTGAAAGGCCTTGGGTTAGGCATGAGGTGCTTATTTGGAGTTAAAGAGTAATTCTGACATAGGGAGCTACTTCTAAACAGTAGGGTAACAGTGACAGAGAGTTAGAATATCCATTGGCTTGGTCCCATCATTCCCAGAATTGTTTTTGGCTCCTGGTGCAAATTGTTTTCTGAGAGTGGATAAGATTTAAGTTTCATCTAGAACCTCTTTTTTCTCCTTTTTTTAAAAGGTACAATTATCACTTGAAAAGCCAGATGTTAGAGCCCAGATGCCCACCATTGAACGAGTATCCATGTCAAGACATTTCTACCTCTTTCCTGGCAATTGAAAATACTAGGGATCAAAGCTGTTGACACGTATAATAAATGGGAAAGTCATACTGGTGGTGAGGTTCAACAGCTAATGACAGTCAATTGCATGGGTAGTCAAATTAATGTTGCTTCTTTATGTAGTTTAGTGACTAGATGTTATTTTTTTCTCTACTTATATGAATCTGGATCCTCCTCATCTCCATAATCAATTAATCAGTCAGCCAATCAAGGAGATAAGCCATACTAAGACAGGGAGTAATAAACAATTGAGGACACAATGTAGCAATTAATGAAACAGAAATGTACTCAAGCTTCCACTATTATTTATATTTCTTTCTCACCACACATGCACACACACACACACAAGTTACCAAACATTGCCTTATATCCTGAAAAGCAAAAATAAAATAAAAACAAAAACACACAGAAAATAGAGGAGATGACTGAGAAGGAACAAGACTTTGGTCTTTTAAATGCAGATGTCACATTACTGAACTTAAGCTATAACTACCAAGACAGTATAAAATATACTGTAATTCTTGTATTGATGCAGATTCTGTCTTCCCGACAGTTCACACAAAGTAGATTTTAGAGTGTGCTCTCAGATCCTTAATTACTGCTCTGAACCCTTTCAAACACCCATGTTAACACACATTTATTGTGTTTTGGTAAATATATTTTAGAATGGGTTCAACAAATTTAGACTTAGTTATTATTTACTCATTAGAGCTGAATATCACACTGTATTGTAAGTCTATTGTTAATCTCTCTTTCAAGAGCATGATTAAAATTATATTTTATAGTAAAGGTTATCTCACTACTTTAAGTCTTTACCCACCATCTTCTCCTCCTGGTTTGTGATTTTCAGGTGGAATAATTGCATAAATAGTTCATCAGGATATTGTTTATTGCCTAATTAGTATTAGAGAACCACATTAGGGATTTACCTATTTGACTAATATTTATCAAACACTTACTATATTCCAAGTTTTGTTCTAGAATATTGAAATATACAAGTACACAAAATAAATGGAAAGCTTTGCTTCAGAAAGCTCATACTCTAGTAAGTGGAGACAGACTATAAATACACAAACAAGTAAATATATGTGAGACTGATAAGAACTAAGAAGAAAAATAAATGAGGTTAAAATGATGAAAGAAATGGTTGTTGTACTTACTTTAATAGATATATTATTCAAGAAAGGTTTCTTTGAAGAGATAAAATAAATCAGAACAGAGAGTGGGGTAGTAAACCTTGTGTTTCTCTGCAGAACAGTGTTCTAGCACCCCTGGGTATAGCAAGTACAAATGCCCTGAGGCAGAAATGTGCTTCACATCTTTAAAGACCTGCCAAAAGGCAGCGCACTGGGGGGAAATGGCAGAGACACATTGAGAAAATGGTGAAAAGTCTGGTCACATGGGCTTGGTGATCACATGGTAACTGCTCTAAAATTGTCATCCAGAGTGAGATAGGAAACCATTTGCGTTTTTATGAACAGAGAAATGAGAATGAATTAGATTTTACAAACATCACCCTGTGAACTTTTGGTGAATATACTGCAAGGGTCACAGAGGTCAAAACTAGTGGCAAAAGCTCATGGAAGAGGACGAAAGAGGAATGATGGTCAGGGTTGGATTGAAGGCTTATGGGAATTACTATCCTCACCTCCTATTTTTTTGTCTCTTTTTTGTTTTGTTTTTTGTTTTCCTTTTTTATGGAATTACAGGCAGTCCTGCCCTTCTTTACCAACTTCTAGAAGCACCTTTCTCAGTATGGCAGGCATATTTAACCATTTGTATTTAAATAAAAAATGAAAACACACAAACTGTGTCTTTGGGTCCTTTAATAGACTAGCATTTCAATGAAAAGGTGGGTGTGTGGAAGTGAAGTGGAGTGAGCTATCTGCATTTTCCAGCTTAGGACTCACGCACTACCTGCATTTCCTTGAGTGCAGAGAGCTGGCCGTGTCTGTCCCTCAGCAGCTGTGCCTAGATGGAAGATAGGAACTGTAACCTGGTCAGTTCCTCAGCTGTATCCTCATCCAACCCATGTCCAGTGTGGTTCAGAGAAGTTTTCTAATTTATTGTAAAACCAACATCATAGATTCAGAGAATATTTTTCATCACTAAACCATGAGTTTACCAAATTAGTCCTATGTATCTTTCTATCAGTATATTAACATTCTTATTTTCTTTCTATATGATTGCGTATTTCCAAACTTCCAGAAAACTTTATTCTTTAACAAGCTCTTGGATATTGTCTAAAATAACTTGGAATTTGGTTCAAAATGGGACAAACTTACTGTATTTGTATAGAAATACAAATATCATCAGATAAAAATGGAAAGAGAATGGGGAATGTCAGCAATGGGAGAGGGAATATTAAAATTTCTGAAAAGGTGAATATTGGTAGAGGAGTTTTGGCACCATGCTGATCAGATAGTTACTAAGTAAAGATATGTGCTACTTCTGTTATATATACATAGAATATTGAGTAAATATTTGAGTACATTGCTGAAATTAATTTAAATAAGATGATCTAGGTTTCATATATAACCATAATCATAAATATTTATTAACATAATTGTTAATATAATAATATTTAATATTATTAAAACAATATTAATTGTATATTTTGATTACTATAAAGAATTTTATGTATATAAGAAATCAATTTAACCATAACAGCAACACTACAATGTAATTACAATCTATATCTCCTTTCTATCTATATTAAAACAAAAGAATACAGAGCTTAAATGACTGCCAAATTTACTCAGTTAAAACATGGATACACCATGATTTGAACTCAATTTGACTTTCTCTGAAATCTGAGTTATTGACCACTGTGGAGCATTGTCTTTACAAAGCCATGAAATACAGAAACTATAAGAGTTCTGAATTGTAAGGTTTAACTGAATTTTGAATTGTAATGTTTAACTTATACTACAAAGATTCATAATGTTTATATTTCTGTACTTAACTGTTTGTATAGAAACATGAGACACAACACAAAGATCCAAAAACACATATTATAGAGAATTAATTCTACTACTGAGAGATAATATTAAAATCCAATAACATAAAGTTTTTCACACATCACCACACAGTTGGAAAAAACACTCACATATGCAGGGGCAATGTCAGCCAGGGGAATGGCTGCGTAGAGGTTTGGCCTAATGCCCTTCCTAGATCAGGGTGAGAGAGTCTGATCAGGGGTTGGGCCTTCTGGGAGAAGGGGCCACAAGAGTTTGGCTGGTTGGCCCAACCTCCCAATTGGGCTGGTTCACTGGTTGCAGTGGGCATCATAACGTCCAGTCATTCTGCTCGTTAAAATGTTCCTGGTTACTGGCATGTTATAAACACTAAAGGCCTGATGCGTAAAATTTGTGCATGGGAGGTGGGTGTCCCTTAGTCCAGCCTGCACTCTCTCCAATCTGGAATCCTTCAAGGGTAGTCAGACATCCCTTTTACAGTCCAGGACTGCTGGCTCCTAACCATTCACCTGCCTGCCTGCCAGCCTGATCACCCCCTAACCACCCCCCTGCCAGCCTGATCTTTGCCAAACTACTTCCCTGCCAGCCCAATTGCCCCTAACTGCCCTCCCCTGCTGGCCTGGCTACCCCTAACTTCCCTCTCCTGCTGGCCTGGTCACCCCTAATTGTCCTCATTTGTCATCCTGGTCACCCCTTATTCCCTTCTCTTGCTGGCCTGGTTGCTCCTAACTGCCCTCTTCTATAGGCTTGTTTATCCCTAACTGCATTCCCCTGCCATCCTAGAAACTCCTAACTGCCTTCCCCTGCAGACCTGATCACCTCTAACTTCACTCCCCTTCTGGCCTGGTCCCCCCAATTTTACTCCCCTGAAAGCCTGGCCCTCCCAACTGCCCGCCCCTGCAGGCTTTGTTCCTCCAAATTCTCCTCCTCTGCTGGCTCGGTCGCCCCTAACTGCCCTCCCTTGTCAGCCAAGTCACCCCTAACTGCCATCCCCTGCTGGACTGATTGTCCACAACTGCCCTTCCCTGCTGGCAAATTTGTGGAGGCCATCTTGTGTCCACAGAGGGCGGCCATATTTGACTATATGAGGGCAGCCATCTTGTGTGTTGGAGTGATGGTCAAATAGCATAATACCTCTTTATTATATAGGATAGATTATCATTTTTCAGATATTTTTATCTTTTTTTCCTACCCAAATTAATCTATAAACACAATAGAATACCAAAGAAAATCTAACCAGGTATTTCTTTGAACTTGACACATTATTTATACTCTTTGTTTAAAAGGTCAAGTAGTAAGAATATCTAAGGAAAAATAATTAAAAAGTAGTTGGGAGACTGCCTGAACACAGATCATGAAATCCAGTTGGTACGTGGGTAGACAAATAGACACACAGAAAATCATACAAAGGCTCAAAATGAACAACATAAAATATGTCAAGTTGCAGAGGTAAAATAATGAGTGATTCAAGAAATTATATTATAGAAACACACACACACACACACACACACAAACACACACACACATTTTGTATCTGAAGCCATATACAAATGAATATACCAGATGGAGTAAAGTCCTAAATGTAAAAAGTATCTTTCAAGTTATTAAGAGAAAAAATATAGAACAATATATTTATGATATTTATGTAGGGAAATTTTTCAACAAGATTCAGAAAACACACTGCCTTAGAAACATGAATAAATTGAATATAAAATTTTAGATCACTGTGTACAATGTTAGACTTTGTGTGATGGTACCATGAGTATAGGTATATTTCTAAACTCATCAAAGAACTACATTAAATAAATACAATAGAAGCCTGGTGCACAATGTTTGTGTGTGAGCATGTCCCTAGGCTTGTCTTGCGATCACAGCCATCTTCCCCAGCTGCCTGCATTCAGCCCCATCCCTTGCCACCACCCACCCCCAGGATCCTATT